GAATGGAATGGAATGGAATGGAATGGAATGGAATGGAATGGAATGGAATGGAATGGAATAGAATAGAATAGAATAGAATTCTTTTATTGGCCCAGTGTGATTGGACACACAAGGAATTTGCCTTGGTGTAAATACTCTCAGTGGACCTAAAAGAAAAGATAAAAGGTTGTGAAGGATGTTGCCTCTTTTATCTCAGTTTCAAGTAGGTGCTTTAGAGAGGCGGCATTTCCCCGTCTGTTACCTGCTTTTCCAACTTGCTGAGTGAGCCCTCGGTACCGCCAAGCAGGGGTCTCCAACCTTGGCCACTGTAAGGCTCACAAAATATTCTATGGTCTTTTAGAGTTGCCAATAGAAAGGGAGGGGGGGAAAGGGGTTTGGAAGAGCAGTGTGGCAGCTTGGAAATCGAAAGTACATTCCATAAATAGTTTTTCAAAGATATAACTAGGTGACTGAAGTTTCTGCTGAGCACAAGTCTAACTGGAGAGCATGACTGATGACTCTGGGCTGTGGAGGTGTCCCATTGGAGAATATGAATTAGGATACCCCCAAGGGGGTGGGAGGGAAACCAGGGTCAAGGGTGACCATGATTGATGTGTTTTGGAAGTTTGGCTCGAGACTTATGATTTTATTGGGGCAACTGCCAGAATCCTGACTTTGCTGGCTAAGGAACTCTGGGAATTGAAGTCCACAAGTCTTAAAATGGCCAAGGTAGGAGACCCCTGGTCCACAGCTGTCTCAGGACATTCCTGAGGGCAGCGTGTTCCTGTTTAAGGACCACCCAGAAGCAGAGCCACAGAAATCGTCTTCCCCTGCAGGCCTCCCAGGGTCTCCTGGGCACCCGCTCTGGGTCTCAACAATGGAGCAGCGTCCACTGAGAGGTTCTCAGCACTGGCCCTCTCGGGTGGTTTGGATGGTCTCCATGCTGACCCTATTGAAATGAGCTCTTAATGCCAAGACTTGGGCTAGAGTTTGGCGGGGGGGACCCACAGTGAAACACCTGGTTTGATATTTCCGTGTTTTTTTCAATCTTTTCCCTCCCATGGATCTCCCATAATATCTGTCTCTCTGTCTCTTCCTTCCTTCCTTCCCTCCCTCCGTTCCTTTCCTTTCCTTTCCTTCCTTCCTTCCTTCCTTCCTTCCTTCCTTCCTTCCTTCCTTCCTTCCTTCCTTCCTTCTCTGTCTCTCTCTCTCCTCTTTTATCTATCTCCATAGGCCTACCATGCCCTGGATCCAGAGTTGGGGGGCTGCTGTGATCTCTGCCCTTGCTGTGGCTTCTGTCCGGGCTGCGGCTCCTGTCCAGGATGCGGCTCCTGTCCAGGATGCGGCTCCTG